GATTTTGGCCTGCTTAGGAACATGGTTGAGAGTGTCCCCTGGGAGACAGTCCTGAAGGGCAAAGGTGCCCAGGAAGGCTCGTCATACTTCAAGGAGGAACTCTCAAAAGGGCAGGAGATGGCCATCCCCAGGTCCCATAAAACGAGCAAACGGGGAAGAAGATTGGTCTGGCTAAATAGAGGGCTTTGGCTGGACCTCAGGGAGAAAAGGAAATTCTACAATCTCTGGAAAAAGGGGTTGGTTAGTCATGAACAATATCAAGGTGTAGTGAAGATATGTACGGGAAAAATTAGAAGGGCGAAAGCCCAAGCAGATCTTAACTTGGCCACCACAGTTAAAGATAACAAGAAGAGTTTTTTTCAGTATATCAATAAAAAAAGGCAGGCTAGGGAAAATGTAGGCCCACTGATGAATGAGGTGGGTGCCTTGGTGGTGGAAGACACAGAGAAGGCGGAGATGCTGAATGCCGCCTTTGCTTCAGTCTTCACTGCCAAGGCCGTCCCTCATGAATCCCAGACCCTGGAGACAAGGGGGATGGTCTGGAGAGAGGAAGACTTTCCCTCTGTTGGGGAGGACTGGGTTAGAGACCACTTGGCCAAACCAGACATCCATAAGTCTATGGGGCCTGATGGGATGCTGAGAGTGCTGAGAGAGCTGGCGGATGTTATTGCTGAACCACTCTCCATCATTTATGAAAGGTCATGGAGAACAGGATAAGTGCCTGAGGACTGGAGGAAGGCAAATATCACTCCAGTCTACAAAAAGGGCAAGAAGGAGGACCCAGGCAACTACAGGCCAATTAGTCTCACCTCTGTCCCTGGGAAAATAATGGAACGACTTGTTCTGGATGTCATCTCCAAACATATTGAAGACAAAGAAGTTATTGGAAGTGGTCAACACGGATTTACCAAGGGTAAATCAGGCTTGACCAATCTGATAGCCTTCTATGATGTATAACTAGATGGCTGGATGAGGGGAGAGCAGCAGATGTCATCTACCTTGACTTCAGCAAGGCTTTTGACACTGTCTCCCATAACATCCTTGTTAGAAAATTAAGGAAGTGTGGGCTAGATGAGGGGGAAGTGAGGTGGATTGAGTCCTGGCTGTGTGACAGAACTCAGAGGGTTGTCATTAATGGAGCAGAGTCAAGTTAGAGGCCTGTAACCAGTGGGTCAATACTTGGTCCAGTGCTGTTCAACATATTCATCAGTGACCTGGACGAGGGGACAGAGTACATCCTCAGCAAGTTCGCTGATGATACTAAACTGGGAGGGCTGGCTGACACTCCAGAGGGCTGTGCTGCCATCCAGCATGACCTGGACAGGCTGGAGAGCTGGGCAAAGAAGAACCTAATGAGGTTCAACAAGGGCAAATGTAAGGTCCTGCACCTGGGGAGGAAGAACCCCAGGCACCAATGTAGGTTAGGGGTGGATCTTCTGGGAAGTACTACTGAGGAAAAGGATGTGGGAGTCCTGGTGGATGGCAGGATCTCCGTGAGCCAGCAATGTGCCCTTGTTGCCAAGAGGGCCAATGGAATCCTGGGCTGCATACGGAGAAGTGTGGCCAGCAGGTCGAGGGAGGTCATTCTCCCCCTCTACTCTGCACTGGTGAGGCCACAACTGGAATACTGCGTCCAGTTCTGGGCTCCCCAGTTCAAGAGAGACAGGGAAATACTGGAGAGAGACCAACGTAGGGCAACAAAGATGATTAAGGGATTAGAGCACCTCCCTTACAAGAAAAGGCTCAAAGAGCTGGGGCTCTCTAGCCTCAAGAAGAGAAGACTGAGGGGACACCTCATCTATGTTTACAAGTTCCTAAAGGGTGAGTTGAAGGATTATGGAGCCGAACTCTTTTCAGTGGTTTCCAGCAATAGGATGAGGGGCAATAGTTGCAAGCTGGAACATAGGAAGTTCCACTCAAAAAAGAGGAAGAACTTCTTTCTGGGAAGGGTGACAGAGCACTGGAACAGGCTGCCCAGGGAGGTTGTGGAGTCCCCTTCTCTGGAGGGTCTCAAGACCGGCCTTGATGCAGTCCTGAGTGATGTGCTCTAGGCAATCCTGCTTAGCAGGGGAGTTGGACTAGATGATCTCTAGAGGTCCCTTCCAACTCTGTCGAATCTGTGAATCTGTGTGAATCTGTGAAATTCAGGGAGAGTGAATCTGCATCCAGACTGGACTGTCTCCATTCCTGACTTCAAAAGGCATCTACTGCAGCTTTTCAGATAAATCATACAGTAGAGAACTGCTCCCCTTACTCCTCCTGACCCCTCCCCAGCCCCACTTATCAAAACAGAGCCCAGATGATGGACTTATGTTTTTCTCACTAGATGCTGGTTATTAGAATCAATACAGAAATATTCCACTTGGAATGTTCTGGGGATTTCGACTAAAGAGCATACAGAGGCCAGAGCAATTTGTTCCCTAAATTTGGGGGTTATATTCAATTAAAAGTGAAATTTCTGACTGATGTCCGCACTGCCAGTGTTAAAACACCTCATTCAGTCTGAATTTCCTTAACTTGACCTTTGGACTGGTTTTCTTCGCACTTCTCTTTAGTCATCAACTATAGAGTGACCTCTGCACTGTAGTCACCTTCTGTGAACGTCAGAGAGCAAGTGATTTTTGTAGGGAAGAATCACCTATGTGATGTAGGATGGTAAGGTAAGGACTGCTTAAAAGTGCTGTATCTTTGTTAGACTAAACAGATGCATATCATTATTCACCCAAATAAATACAGAAATTATTATCCATAGAAGACAATTTTTAAACAATCTGAAGATGTTTCAGATTGTTTCAGACAAACTGTCTGAGATGGCTTCTCCCATGGAGGGGCTTGTCTCTCACCATTAATTAGAGAGCTTAAAGCCAGAGTTAAACATTAGGTGTGCATACCTTCTCTCCTCCTGCAAAGCCTTTTTCCTGTGGCTAGTTTGTGCAGTTTATTTCACGGCATTCACAGAATTTTCAGAGTTGGAAGGGACCTCTAGAGATCATCTAGTCCAACTCCCTTGCTAAAGCAGGATTGCTCAGAGCACATTACTCAGGACTGCACCCAGGCGGCTCTGTCCTCCTTCAACCCACCCTTTAGATACTTGTAAGGATTAATAGGATCTCCCCTCAGCCTTCTCTTCTCCAGGCTAAAGAATCTCAGGTCTCTCAGTCTTTCCTCATAAGGGAGATGCTCCAATCCCTTAATCATCTTTGTCACCCTACGCTGGACTATCTCCAGTAATTCCCTTCAATGCCACATTTTTATTCCTAAAGTTCAGTGGGATCAGCCCCAAGACATGGAAGTGCTCTATAGGTCTATCTTTAGAATTAGTTCCAGGAGCTAACAGCAGAACCAGAGAGAGGTTTTTTCATACCCAAAGAATGAGGAAAAAATAACTGACGCCTACAATTGCAAGCAATCAATTCCCAACAGACGAATTTCCTCTGGGAATTAAAACACATTGAAATACTCAAGGTCTGTGATGCGAATTTTCAAAAAATACTAACCACAGCCACCTTCTAATGGCAGGTGAGCTATCTTATTTTACTCCAGTGTTCTTTTTCTTCTTCCATATGTTCTTGTTCTTCTACCACCTACACAGGGCTTCTCTTTAAGGGAGACCGATCTATCTATGAAGTGAATGGATTCATGGAATAGAAAATAAATTCTAAGACATTGTTTATTCTTGAAAGGAACTTTCCCCCTGAAGATTGCCTGGGCCAAAGGTAATTTCCTGGAGAGTGATCTGCATTCTTTTGATCTAATTATTAATAGGAAAGAGTTGTAATGTCTGGGGGTTTCTGTGTGTGTGTGTGTTTGTCTGCATGTGTACACATACACATGCATGTGTGTGCTTTGGGTCTGGCTTTTTTCTTATTAAAGTTATGTCCCCTATCCCATTCAAATTATGGCAATGAAATCAGAGCAGTTATTTTAAATAGAAAATCTTCCCTCTAGTGTTTGGGTAAATTATGAGAAGAAAATAATGTGTACATTCTGTAAGAACTTTTGTTTTACAGAATCATGGAGATTGACAGGGATTTGTGGTGATCGTCCAGTGAAAAAAAAAAATCAGAGCAGAGTCAGCTATAGCATATTTCTCATGGCCATCTCCCACCAGATTTTGAGTATCTCCAAAGACGGAGACTCCACAGCCTCTCTGGTAATCTGTTCGAGTATTTGACCAAATTCAACATGTACCAACAAATAAACAAACAAAACCCCCCCTCTCTTATTTTTAAATGGAATTCCTTGTATATCTGTTTGTGCCTATTGCCTCCTGCCTGTTCACACTATGCTGAACTTGACCTAACCCCGAGTGGAGTAATAAAAGGTAGCACGTGCTCTAAGTTTTACTGGTTTTTTTGCAAACTTGTACTACTTTTGGTTTTATGTCATGTGCAGGTGGGATAGCAGGGAAGATACACAATGATGATAGCAATCATGTATGGTATTGTGGAGTGCACACAGGATTATCTGTAGGTGACTGTTCTCTAGAATGAACCCCATCCACAAAATAATAGCCAGAAGGACTCATTGCCAAAACCCCACTCTATTAACAAATTAATCATTTCTGGGTTTTAAGAACCAGTCTTCTTTGGTTGGTAGGAGGTGTTAGAGTAGCAGATCTTAGCTGGATAATGGAAGAAAAGTCCACCTCAAAGACTGGAGCAGTAGAGTACAATCCTCTTCCTAAAAGGCAGGAGGAGTAAAATATTCTGCCATCATAAAGAAGATGTATCTTTCTTTCCATTGACTGGAAGTGAAGTACACTCATTTGGAAAGCTTGTTCTTACTTATCAAAAACTATGTGAAGGGAACCACCGTTTCCTCTAAACAATTTTTAGCACTGAAAATACCTAAACACAGCAGTAAAAAGCCATTTTTTTTACTGGGTTCTTGTCCTAATAATACACATAAATATTTAATTTACTATTGTGTATTTCTCTAGATTAACTAGAAAAAGGACATATAATCTTTTCTGGAGCTAAAAAACCAACTTGATGGACATGACCAGCTGCTGGAACCAAACAAGGGTGACCTATTTCCAATTTTTACCTTTCTCCAGCATTCCAGAGATCCAAGGCTCGCTCTTTTGCCTGGTATTGCTCATGTACCTCAGTACTTTGGTGGGAAACATCCTCATCATTGTGATCACTGTGGTAGATGCTGCCCTTCACTCCCCCATGTATTTTTTCCTCAAGAATTTGTCTATCCTGGAGATTGGCTACACTACATCCACAGTCCCCAAGATGCTGGTGAACTTCCTCAGAAAAAGGAAAGGCATATCCTTTCTGGGCTGCGCCACACAGATGTATGCCTTCTCCGTCTTAGGAATCACAGAATGTTGTCTGCTGGCTGCCATGGCCTACGATCGATATGTGGCCATATGCCATCCCCTGCACTACACAACCATGATGAGCTGGAACATGTGCTTCCTGCTCTCAGCTGTATCTTGGCTTATTGGAGTCTTGATGGCCTTAGGGCAGACAACTTTCATCTTTAGCCTTCCATATTGTGGGCCCAACAGGATCAATCACTTCTTCTGTGACCTGCTGCCTCTGCTGAAGTTGGCTTGCACGGACAC